GGGTTTGAACCGCCAGCCTTCTGGTGAGCAGTCAAGTACCTTAGGCACTATGCTACCAGAGCTCCCTCTTTGAGTTTTAGATGTTAAAATAGGAGGAAAGTTGTTTTGGGGTAGCCTACTGATTAAAGTTAGGTTGGCATAGATAGAATGGCCAAGGTACCATTCTGAGAAGGGAGCCATGCTGGTGAAAGTAGTTGGCTAGTAATAAAAGAAACATAAGACAAAGAGCTTTGATGAGACTTAACAAATTTGAGCCTACATGTGAATATAGAGCTAAAAACTGTGAGAAGAAAATATAGTCATTGGAGCTGAAATAAGTTAATTGTACAGATGAAATTTAATTAATATGAACTGTTCCAAGATAAATATATTTTGTCATTTTTTAAAATAACTGAAGTTTTAAGTTCTAGTTATTAATGTTTTCCAGAAGTTAATCAAAGAATGGTTAGCACTCTACTAGTTAGCTACTGGCATCAGACTTTCACAGTCCTTTTGTGCCTGATCCATTGCAGTTATGACACCAGGAATATATTTTAAATATCTTAAAAAATGATACACAGAATCACAATATTAGGACTTTAAACTTCAGTCAAACTAGACTTAATTAGTGTGAAGCAATAGGAAATAACCCAAAACATATTCCACACTCCAGCAGAGTATGGTCAAATATAAACAGGGATAAGTTTATTGGTGTATATAATTAGAAAGGATATTCTACTCACTAGATGTAGCCAACAAGTGAAATATAAATATCATTTTATGCTGCTGCTGCTACAGAAACGGTCTCTGAAACCCAATGCAAATATTTAGTTGGCAGGAAAAGGCTCTGGAATATGGAAGATTAATAAAATGAATTCTTCTTTCATATAACTTAGACTTATATTTGCTGTTGATTCTATTATATCTGCCTTGTAGATTATGATTTCCTTTTTTTCTTGTGTTACTCACTGTAGCTTATAAAGTCACACTTATTACTGCCACTGAACTAGGACATAAGCTTTTCTGGTCTAGATTTCATCATTGGAAATGCCACATACACATTGTTTAAGAACTCTGAATATGGGTTCTGTGGGTCTCTACCTATCAGAGAGTACCTTGAAGGTTCTGCTTTATGATGCTTAGAGAAGAGTGCTCAGTTGTCTCTTCAGTAGTCTCTGATCAGCTGCTCTTGAACAATCAAGATGCCTCTGTCTCCTCTTCCAGCAGCCCTCCTGTCTCACATGATAAGTGTTAGCAATGTGCCTCCTCCTCCAATTCACAATATACCAAGTGAGTGGGGAATGTCTTATGGGTCTCATTCATCTGTTACTGTTTTCAGTAGTACTTATCACAGACATAAGAAAATGGGATATTTTAGGGTTGGATTGGATATTGTGACTCTTATTGACAATATAGGAATGGAAAGAACATTGATATGTAAATCCTGCTTTGTTTATTTAGACGCCATAACTCTCATAATTCTCTAGATCTCAAGTATTTTTTTCTTTGTAAATTGATGATGTTTATGAATGATTTGAACTTTAACTATGTTGAAATACTTTTAAAGAAGAGGAAAAAACAGAGGCTCACAGAAGTCACCTAGATTACCACAGCCTAGGCCCTTGGTTTCTGAAGGTTTACTAGTCCTTACCCTAAAGCGAATGGGAGAAATGATGAATTAAAAGAGCTGTACAGAAGATTTCAAAAAATATCATAAAAGGACAAAACAAAGTGTGATAATGAGATGTGCAAAGACCTGGAGTTGGAAAATCAAAGGGGGAAGAACTCAGTTGACATTTCTCAAGCAGAAAGAACTGAAGAAAAAATTTAAGCCTTGAGTTGCAATATTGAAGGATTCTGTGGGCAAAATATTAAATGATGCAGGAAGCATCAAAAGAAGATGGAAGGAATAAACAGAGTCACTGTACCAAAAACAATTGGTGGACATTCAATCATTTCAAGAGATGGTATGTGTACTAGTTATGTTTGTGTGTCAACTTGGCTGGACCTGGCTGAGTGGCTGGGCAGCTGGTGGTAGTTATGCCCCATGATGAGACTGGCAATCAGCTCCATGGTGGAATCTACCAGAAGCAGCTGAGTAGCTGCCTTTGGGATGTGGTCTGCTTTCTGTATATAAGGAGAAGCCTTGGGAATGGTCTCTAGCCTATGGCACGCTTGGACCCTGCATGTAGCCATGTCATTGCTCAGCAGCCTGCCATGCTCTGCCAACCTTGGGACTTACAATGGACTTAAGTTAATGGCCTGCTGTGTGGTTTGGTAATATCGAGAATGTGCCATTTTATTTGTCAACCTTGGGCTTCTTAGCCTCAGCAACCAGCAGCTGTCTGAGTGAAGAGATGCTTCTGGCTTCAGTGGGCCAAGAGCTGGTGGCAGAGCTGAAGCTAAAGGCTGAGGGGCTTTCACCCAGCCCCTAGAGCTTGGCACTTTGAACTTGGACTTAAAGCCTCCAAATTATAAGAATAAACTCCTGTTTGTTAAGGCCATCCCATTTGTGGTATATCCTTGTCAGAGTAGCACTAGGTAACCAGAGCAGTATGTGACCAAGAATCAATGGTACTTAAAGAAAGAGTCCAAGCTACACTGAAATAATTGGAGAAAAGTAAGGCTGCAAGAATTGAGAGAATACCCACTGAGGTGTTTCAAAAATGAATACAGAGTTGGAGGTGCTCACACCTTAATGCCAAGAAATTTGGAAGACAGCTACCTGGCCACCTGACTGGACAAGATTAATGTTTATGCCTATTCCAAAAAATGGTGATCCAACAGAATGCAGAAATCATTGAACCATATTATTAATATCACATGCAAGTAAAATTTTGCTGAAGATATTTCAAAATGGTTGTAACAGTACATTGACAGGGAACTGCCAGAAATTCAAGCTGGATTCAGAAGAGGATGTGGAACAAGGGATATCTTTGTTGATGCCAGATGGATCTTGGCTGAAAGCATAGAATACCAGAAAGATGTTTCCCCATGTTTCATTGACTGTGCAAAGGCATCTAGCTGTGTGCATAGCAAATTATGGATAATATTGTGAAGAATGGGAATTTTAGAACACTTAATTTTGCTCGTAAAGGACATGTACATAGATGAGGAGATAGTCATTCAAACAGAATAAAGGCATATTGCATGAAAAGGAGCTCTGGTGGCATAATGCCTAAGGCATTTGACTGCTAATCAGAAGGCTGGCGGTTCAAACCCACCAGCCACTCCTTGGAAGGAAGGTTGGGCAATTTACTTCCATAGTGATACCACCTGGGAAACCCAAGGAAGGGTCGCTATAAGTCGGATCTGACTCGATAGCAGTGCACTGTACTCTGTTTTGTGTGTGGTTTAAAATCAGGAAAGGTATGCATCAGTGTTGTATCCTTTCACCATACTTATGCACTCTGTATGATGAGCAAATAACTCAAGAAGCTGGATTATATGAAGAAGAATGTGATATCAGAATTGAAGGAAGACTTGTTAACAGCCTGTAATACACAGATGACACAACCTTGCTTGCTGAAATTGAAAAAGACTTGAAGCACTTAAGATCAAAGCACTTAAGCACTTAACATCAAAGACTACAGCTTTGAGTATGGATTACATGTCAACATAAAGAAAACACAAATCCTCAGAACTGGACCAATAAACAACATCATGATAAATGGGGAAATGATTAATGTCAAGAATTTCATTTTACTTGGATCCACAATCAACATACATAGAAGCAGCAGTCAAGACATCAACGAAGTATTGTACTGGGAAATTTTGCTGCAAAAGACCTCTTTAAAGTGTCAAAGATCAAAGATTTCACTTTTGAAGGCTAAGGTGTGCCTTACCCAAGCCATGGTATTTCAATATCATCATATGCACATGGAAAGCTGAATAATAGATATGATGCATTTAAGTTGTGATATTTTTAAAGAATATTGAAAATACCATGGATTGCCAGAAGAATGAACAAATCTGTCTTAAAAGAAGTTCAAGTGAAATGCTCTTTAGAAGCAGGAATGGCCAGACTTCGTCTCTCATACTTTGGTCAAGTTTTCAGAAGGGACCAGACTCTGAAGAAGGATGTCATGCTTGGTAAAAGTAGAAGGTCATAAAAAAGAGGAAGACCTTCAATGATATGGATTGACACAGTGGCTACAAGTTGGGCTCAAGCAACAATTGTAAAAATGACACAGGACTGGGCAGTTCTTCCTTCTACTGTACATAGGGTTGTTATGAGTTGGAACTGACTTGACAGTAACTAACAATAACAATGCTGATCAATAATATGTAATAGTCTCAATGGTAGTTGAGATTAAAAAACAAAAAACTTTAGATTACAAAGTTAATACTCTTGACCCTTTCAACTTCGGTAAAAACACTTACTATTAACTTGATATTCATTGTATAGATTTATGGCATTCATTTGAAGAAGGTTATCAGTCCATTTTTTTTACCTTCCTGTGAAAGTTAACTCATACACACACACACACACACACACATACCAAAGCCAAACTCACTGTCATGGAGTTGATTCTGACTCATAGTGACTCTCATTTGGTTTCCAAGGCAGTAAATCTTTATGGAA